GGGCTGCATGGAGTAGGAATTTGCCACACCTGAGGGGTTAGGGTTGGAGGTCAGCGGGGTGAGCCGCCAGACGGGGCAGGGGGGCTGCATGGAGTAGGAATTTGCCACACCTGAGGGGTTAGGGTTGGAGGTCAGCGGGGTGAGCCGCCAGACGGGGCAGGGGGGCTGCATGGAGTAGGAATTTGCCACACCTGAGGGGTTAGGGTTGGAGGTCAGCGGGGTGAGCCGCCAGACGGGGCAGGGGGGCTGCATGGAGTAGGAATTGGCCACGCCTGAGGGGTTAGGGTTGGAGGTCAGCGGGGTGAGCCGCCAGACGGGGCAGGGGTGCTGTATGGAGGTAGGAATTTGCCACTCCTGAGGGGTTAGGGTTGGAGGTCAGCAGGGTTGATCCTGAGTCCCGGCAGAAAGGGGTTCTGGCTGGCTTTGGAAGGAAGCCTGTTGGCCTCTGGCAGCTGGCTAAGCTAGGGAGACGACGTTGCTGTGGGTTTCCTAGATAGTGGCAATATGTTGATGGGGGGGGTGGGGTGGCTCTTTACCTCTGGCAGTGGGACTAATCTGGCCTGACTCAATTGTGTGCTCCCACTTGGTGCAGGGACTGCGCATACATGTTCCCCTTGTGCAGAAAGCTTCACCACCTACCCCAGCTGCAGGTTGAGTTCTGTCCAGTGCCCCATACCAGGTGCAGCCTTATGTGATTCCAGCATATAGGGTGAAAACATGTGTATGTCCCAGGCATGAGCTAGTGTCATTTCAGTCTCCAGGCACACACCCTGCCCCACGTGCTTGCCTCAGCCCAGGTGCTCCAACAATAGGAGCTGTAAATGTCAAATGGGTGGCACAGATTCCTCTTTGGGTTTGCCCTCTGATCTCTCTAAGGCAAAGGAACCCAGTGCCATCTTGTCCTTCCTCAGCATTCGCACCCTTGCTTGTCTCTGCTACTCCCAATCCTCCACTCTGAACTTTACTCGAGGCTCCCATCTCATATATCTGGTCTACCTTGGCAGCCTTGTCACAAACCTGATGGCTCTACCCCTTCTGAGCACCTCACTCTGCCTGCATCATCTCTCACCTGGGCTACTGAAGCTTTTCCCTAGGGCCACCGCAGCTCTATGCTGGACCATTCTCCTTGACCCCAACAGTTGCTACTGCTTTCCCCTCCCTCAGTGGGTGCCTCAGTTCTAAGGGAGTTCCTGTTTCATTACAGCTAGCAACACATCTGTGACCCGGAGAAGAATTCAGGGGCCCGTTCCTGAGAGAGGCATCTTTGATTGGAGAAAAGGTAAAATTCAGCTGGGGCTGCATCAGCAACGCCCCTCTCCTCTTGGTTTCAAATTCATGCCTCCTGCACTCGGAAGCCAAAGCCGGAGGAAAGCTGCATGTGTTGTATAAATAAGGCCCCTGGCCCAGGTTGATAGGTGGCTGAGGGGAGTTGTTTGGGGGCACAGAAGATTGGATCTTCAGTTGGGAACAGTCACATGTGACAGTGCCCACCTCTTGCTGCAGGGCAGCATGCTGTCCCTTTGCAGCTGAGCCTGCAGCAGTTGCCATGCTCAGACCTCTGCATTGCAGGGCAAAGGCAATCTGACTCTTGTGATTGGCTGACTGCTTTGTAGCACGAGAGCTCCTTCTCCCTTCCAGGCCACTGCATCAATGTCCCATTGAGAGATTCCTCCTCCCCTCCCCTCCCCGTGCTGGATGGCAGTGCCAGGCCTTGTGCGCTGCCTGTAATAAAACATTGGCTTTCATGAGATCCAGCTCGCGTAGGTGCATGGCCTGTGTATGGGTCTCTCTCTGGAACATCTGTGGGAAGGAGACTCTTGGGACTGTGCAGCACTAGCACTGGGAGGCCAGTGCCAGACTCACGTGAGGCTTGTGGCCTTATCATGCACAGGGGATCTGTGCTGCCGCTTGTGTAGGGAGGGGGCAGAGGAATTTCTAATCTCCTGGACCATATAATTCAGTAGCTGTCAGCCCCCACTCCTGGGTGGGACTGGGGGTGACTCAGCAGCTTACCGTCCCACTTCTTCCCCCTCTGCATGCGGTTGCCTTTCTTTAGAGCCTTTCCTGAGGGATGTGGTGGGTGAAGTGGGGCTATACACGGAGGCATTGTGGAGATGGTGGGCAGTTCTTGTGTGTGCACCTGGGCTTACGCCTGCTGCAGCAGGAGTGGCAGTCTCTCTGGAATGCTCTGTGCAGCTGCCCCTGGGATGACTTGCTTTGTTTTGGGTACCTTAGTAACGAGGGAAATGGGAGAATTCAGAGATGCTGGAGGCATGAGCCTGGTGAAGAAGTGGCTGTGGTGGAGAGGGGTGAAATGAGAGAGGCAAGTGGCAGCAGGGGTGATAAGCAGAGTGGGCTGATAGTGAGGGAACTCCTCCTGTCAAGGAGCTGAGGAGAGTCTCCTTGGGAAGGTCTCTGCCCCAGGCCTGAAAGGCAACAAGCATTGTGTGAATGGCAGGCATGTATCCTGCTGCTGTGGGTTACAGTCTCTGGGCTGGGCCCTCTTCCCACCTTGCAGAATGTGGGCAGGGCAGATTCCAGGCTGGGCTGACCTTCCAGCCAGACTTGCTAAACAGCTTCCCAGGGATAGAGGGCTCCCTGAATCAAACATCCTGCCTAGTGGTATGGGGCTTGAGTGACACTGCTGGACACTGTCTCATGAGCATGGGTAGGCAGACGGGTGCTAGAGGGGCTCAAGCTAGCATGCTAAAAATAGCTGTGTGGACATTGTGGCTCTGGCAGCGAGTCAGGCTAGCCATCCGAGCTCAAGCCTGGGCGGTTGTATGGTCTTGAGCTCGGGTGCTAATCTATGGGAGTGTCTATACTGGAAACGCTGCAGTACTGCAGTGTAGACACTTACTACAGTAACAGAAGGGGTTCTCTGTCTCTGCAGTAAATCCACTTCTCCAGGAGCTGGTAGCTAGGTTGATGAAGAAAAGTCGACCTAGCGGTGTCTACACTGAGGCTTAGATTGGCTTACCTATGTCTCTCAGGGGAATGCTTTTTTCCTACTCCCTGGGCAATGGCGTTAGGTCAACATAAATTTGTAGTGAAGTTCTTCCCAAGGCGCAGTGTCTGTACAGCCATTCTTGGCATGCTAGCGTGAGTCTGTCTGCCTGTGTGGGGGGGCTTGCTGCCTGCTGCACTGTAGACACGCCCCTAGAGCAGGGGTAGTCTATTTTTTGTCAAGGTCCAAATTTCTTGGTCAACATATAGTCAAGGTCTTGACTCCAGAGGAGAAAAATCATTCTGCTCTCCCCTCCCCCCAATCATGATGATAATAAGTAAATAAGATTTTGGGGTCCGCTCAAAAGCGTCTGGATTTGGCCCACAGTCCCCCATTGACTTCCCCTGGCTTAGAGGTTAGTGCATACCGGTCAACCTGTGATTCTTTGTTCCAGTTACAGTGCCCAGCCTTCAGAGTAACATGCTGGCTCTAAGTGCTGCATGCTCCTCTCTCTACCACACCACAGGTGTGGAGCTGCCAGGCCCTGCCACGCACAAGCCAGGCCTCTGCTGGGTTCTGATCTGTGCAGTTTCAGGGGGGATGAAGGGAGAAGTAATGCCTCTAGGTATGGGAATTAGATGTGCTTCCTCCCACACAACTCTCTGCCCTGGGGGACCAAGACCCAATTCCCCACTCACTCTAGAGCAGGTAGGACAACTTGTTTGTTTGTGGGGGAGTGGGTAGGAAGCCCAGTGCTTCCTGAATCTCTGAACCATGCTGAGTCTGTCTTCCTGGTGCTGTGAGAGTTGGGGAGAGGCCCAGGGTCTCTTTCAGATTGCATTGCCTTCTCCCCCCATGTTGGTCTGGATTCAGGGGAACCTCCTATTTGCCCCACAGAGAAATAGCAGGGAGAGAGTGTTCTCTCCCTGTACCTGGCTTGCATACAGACTGAGCAGGGCAGGTACAGGCACTGATCCTCCTGCAGAGATGGGGAGGGATGAATGGTGTTCTGTGCTCTGCTCTTCCCGAGTGCTGCAGGGCCAAGAGGAGCATAAACCCTCAGAGAGGCTCTGGAAGAAACCTCCACATATTGGATTAGATGGTGGCCTGCCTGTGCTCTGCCACTGCACAGCTGTTGGGGCAGAGGGAGCTCTCTGGCTGGAATGTCTTGCCCTTTCCTGTCAGATGAGTGGAGCAAGTTGAGATGCCTCTGGAAAGGAGCCAGTCCCTGAGAACAAGAACTTCTCCATGCCGGGAATAGCAGAGATGCTAGGCTCTGGGAATGCAATCGTTGCTGCTGGTCCAGAAGGCTGAGGAAGCTGTCGCTTTCTGATAACAGCAGTATCCAGTTTGGATGCTATACTCTCCTGCCTTTTTGGAGCGTTCTCTAGCTCCAGTGGCGGAGTTTGTGGACATGCCTGGGGATGGGATCTCATGGGTTCTTCATTTCCTATCCTGTGCCCTGTGAAGGGATCATTATGGGGGTAAATTCACTCCGGTAACCCCCAGAATGGATCAGGGTGGGCAGCTATTTATAGGGAGTGAAACCTGAGAGCCTGCTGTAGAAAACTACCTTGCTTTGATGCCAGGTATGGTCAGCTAGCTCACTCCCTGTGGCCTTATAGCATCACTTAGTCCATGGTCCTGGTTGTTGACTATAGGACAGCTGGGATGGCTTATCTCATCCCAGCCTGTGATATGAAGGCCAGTCGGAGTCTCCCAGGCTCTGCCTGGGGCCCCTGGGAATCTGCAGTCAGGCTCTGGGCTGATTGGTGCATCCCCATGGGCATAAAATCCAAAGGTTCCTCTGGATTATGCTTTTCTCTAGTGATCAATGGGAAGAGTGGGCTGCAGGGAGGACAGGCCTTTCCTGTCCCTGTTGCACAGGGTCAGCCTGGGTGCTGATCCCAGCTGTGCCTCTGTGGCCTTGAGCTGTCAGTCTGTCCGTTGTTGAGGTGGGGCTGGGGAGCCTGGATGAAGGTGCTCGGTGCCTTGGGTTTATTGGGACATGTGATTTCCCCATAGGATTGGAGCCCCTCCCGAGTGTTAACACCAAATATCCTTTGCCCTACATAGTTGTGGGGGAGGGAGAGAGACACTGGCTGAGGGGAAGTGACCTCTCAGAGCAGGGTGTGGGGCCTGGGGTCTCGGATGTTGCAGAAGTGCATTCCATAGCCTAGTTCTGGCTCCTAGGTAAACTTTCTTTCTCTCCCCCCTCCATGCTCCCTTTGTTGGCTGATAACCGCATTCTGCTGGGTGGTAGCTCGCGGGGGAGGTTGTGCTTGCATCTCTTGGGTAGCCAGGGTAGGGTTTCAGTCATTAGAGCCCTCGAAGTCTTTCTCCTGGTTCTTGCTTTCCAAACCCTTTACTGTGCCTGTGCCCTTCTCCAAGCTCTCTGTTCAGTCCCTGTCTGTGTGGTGATGCAGCCAAGGCCTAGCCAGGGCAAGAGAGTGGAGTAGTAACTGCTAATTACAGGGCCTGTCCTAGCAATCAAATTGAAGCCTTGCAGCATGGAATTTGCACTCTTGTGTGTTTCAAATAACCGAGGTGGGTGCTGGTGAAGCCCTGTCTGCTCTCACCCAGTAGTGGGCTCCTCTGGGGCTTTGGCCCAGGGAATGGGACTTCTGGCTCTGCCTCTGGAAGGCTGTCAGCCTAACCCATGTGCCTGTCAGGAAGCTGTTCCCCTTGGGACTTAACTGCACTCTTCCCTTCCTTGTTGTAACACTGTTCCTCCACTTTTGCCCCAGCTAGTTCTGCTCTGCCTTGACCTCTCCACTCTTTAGATATTTGTCTAGAGCTGCTGGGTTCCACCTCCTTAATCCTCCTTGGGCTGGGCTGCCTGTGGCTGTGCGGTCTAATCTCCTGCCCACACAATTGTTGTTGATTACTAGCATGGTGGTGGAGTTTCCACACTCCTCATAGGCTGCAGGCAGCTCAGGGCAGGAAGAGCTCTTGCTCGGATATCGCTGATCTCATCCCTTCCTGCTCCAGACGCTCTGCCCAAGCCTCTCTCGGTGCTGCTCCCTTTACCTTTGCTCGTTTCTGATCTTGTGCCTCTCTGCTGCTCGTGCAGGCTGTGTTCAGATGGCATGAGTGCAGCTCTTCCTTACTGATGCACTTACTGTTGGGAGGCAATGAGAATTGAAGGGTACGTCCACACTGGCAAAAAAGACCGTGACAGCGAGTCTCAGAGCCCGGGTCAACTGATTTGGGCTTGTGGGGCTCAAGCTACAGGGATAAAAATAGCAATGCATATGTTTCTGCCCAGGCTCTGAGACCTGGCCTCTGTGTGTGTGATTTCTCCCCACCCCGCATACACACAATCTCCATGC